AGTCTACATGCACGAAGTCCAAAGCATTTATGCACACGTATAGCAAAATATTGTAACAGAGGATTCAATCTTCTAGAACCCCTTGATTTCGATGGTGATTTTGACTCATTGATGATACAAGAAGAAATTCCATTGCATCGAGTTGAACATCAACAGTATATTGATGATGACGGTGAAATTCAACTTGCTACAAAAGAATTTCACCGATCATTTCTAAATAATGTTGATACTTTTCGGCTTCAAGAGAAATTCATGTGTATGGTTTGTCCCCAATTATTGCAATATACTTAAATGATGTATCTCAAACATTTATCAGGTAAATGATATCGATGAAAAATTTTATATCCTGTCGGATTTTGTTTATTGTCAATGTATGCAAAAATATATTGTTATTTGTAAAGAACGAAATAGACAAGATGAAAATCAATTATCCATCAATAATCATCGTTTAATATTGATCTTTTCAACCGCGTTTTCATTATTTAATTGATCATTGTCCATATCATAATCAATTAGATTGGATTTGAAAAGACTTGTATTGATTTTAATATACTAACTATATGTATAGATGTTGTTAATCACATTAGTTGTTATTATATAATACGAATAAAAATTTTCTGGAATTGTAATCTATCTATAGAACTTTGACAATATTATGTATCTATTGTAGATTTTACTAACATAAACATTTACATCTACCTTTAACTTTATTCATCCGAAATGTCTCAATCGTCAAGTAAGTATCGTGGTGAATTAATTTTTCAAGTTCATATTATATCATATTCCTTTACATGATAGATTCAACAATGAACACGAACATTTTCTCGGACCTATTGGCAATTACAGCTGATAATAAGGTAAGAACTAACGAATGATATTATAACTTGATGTTTCTATTAATTTGACAACAGGCAACTTCAACTGGAACAGAACGAGAAAAGAAAAGAGCTGCTCCTTTACCACTTGAAGGTCAAGTAAAAAAGAGTATGGCTAATCATCATTCATGCGAAGAACGAGCTTCGAATATTACTTCAAAACCTGTTGAACAACCAAAATTCGTTAGTGCGGCTGAGATGGCTGCTAAGGCTCGTACAAACATTCAAATGATGCCTGAAATTTCTGATGAGGAATTGCTTGAAATGGCTATTAAATTTGAAAAGGAACATCCTCAATAATCTTCTTCAATGATTTGACAAAATACAAACTGATCCGTAGTCGAAGCATCTTTTTTGTAGTGTATGATTGTAGTGTTGTAGTGCTCAATTTTTCAGATTATCTTAATCCTTTTTTTTTT